GGGGGGGGGGGGCAAGGACTTACCATGCAGAGGCACTGAAGGTGGCATAACATATGCCAACAGCCACCCTGAGCATAAACAGGTCTCCCATGGCCCTGCTCACCCCCAGGGGACCAGGTCCAGCCCAGGGCCAACTCCAGAGAAGTGAGGAGAGGCCAGGGTCTTTCTCAGTATTTACGTGGGGAAATTCTGAATGGCCAAGGGGGAAAAATCAACAGCTCTTCTCATTTGTCCCTCACTGGCAGGACTGCAGGAGCCACTGACCCAATGGGGGACCAGGAAGGAAGGACTCAGCCCAAAACCTCCAAGGAAAGCCCCGCCCCACCCCGCCCTGCCAGCCCTTCTTCCCTCTCAGGCTGACAGAAGGGCTGAAGCCTTTCCTTACCTTTGAGGTTTCTTTCCTCTATAAATCAGATTTGTCTCTTCCTACTTGATGGCTCATTTCTCAGAGTCTTGTAGGCTAGAGCAGATGAGGTTCCTAACCCTCAAGATAGGTCACCAATTCCTCAGATCTACAGTGTCCTCATCTGTCAGTGAGACCTCACTCTTTGTCCTGCCTTCTTCCCCAGTATTAATAATTATAGAGGAACCCTACTGGGGACCCTCTATTACTCATTTTCCCAAAGTAAGTGAATGCACCTTTCCTACCTCCTTCCTTGGTGACTGTAAAGTCATGGAATCATGGGACCATGAAACAGATCACTTCAGAGGGTATCTCTGTAATAGGCCCTTCTATTACATTCCACTAAAGTAAATTCTGGTAAATTTCTTTCATTCCTAGAAGGTCTTTCATTTTATATGTGAGAATCAATCTTCGGGCCACCCAGGGCTGTATTTGAAAAGATTGATGACTTTCTTTCTTTGTTTTTGAGATAGAGAGTGAGAGAGACAGAAAGAGACCACGAGTTGGCAGGGGACAGAGAGAGAGAGGGAGAGACACAATCTGAAGCAGACTCGGAGCTGTCAGCACAGAGCCTGACGCAGGGCTTGAACTCACAAACCACAAGATCATAACCTGAGCCAAAGTTAGACGCTTAACTGACTGGGCCATCCAGGCACCCCAGGACTGATGCCCTTCTGACACCAGTCTGTTGCTAGGACATCAGCTCCTTAGGCAAGAATATTTTATTTTATTTATTTATTTATTTTTTTAATTTTTTTTTTTCAACGTTTATTTATTTTTGGGACAGAGAGAGACAGAGCATGAACGGGGGAGGGGCAGAGA